ATACCCAACCTGGTCATGTATATGTGGTAATGATGGTGGTTCCCATAATGTATTTTATAGGAGCTGCCTTCCCTATAAGCTTGAATATGAGGCAGCAGTTCTCAAGACTCAAACTAGGCCTCTCTCTACGTGAGACCAGACAGGAATCATGATGACAAGGTTTTTCTCTCTCAACTTATTCCTAAACTGTATTTCACTCTGCTCCCCTCACATTATCTCAAGGTTTCCCAGTATCTTTTCCATCTACAACGAACCATCCTTTTTCTACACCCCTCTCCCTCATTCAAATTCCTTTTCCAGTCTAAATCCAGATACTCCAATCTCTACCACGTCTCCTATTTCTACCCCACCTCCTCACTTTACCTGTCACACCAGACAACCTAAACATTCCACTCCATCTGACGCCCTCCTCTTCCTCTGCTCTTTGAACATCTATCTCCTCTTCTCCTTCTCACGAGAGATCCTTTGTTTCTCAAATATCCCCACCCAACACCCCTCCAAAAACTCTTGAAGACATTCAAAAGTTCCGAAACATGACCCAAGAGAATTTTCTGCTCCCTCTTCCACCCTCCAGTTCCTATTTCCTGTACATTCAAAGTATTTGCTGATCATCCAGTCCTCTTTTAGTAATCTCAATTTACTTCATTTGCTCCCTCTCTTCACCCTTTTCACTACCATACTATTCTATAACACTATAATCTTTGACATCTAACACATTTTATCCTAATCTTTAACTCATTTTTACCCTTTTTCCTACAATAATTTATCATAGTGCTATATAACCTTTAATGTCTAGCATATTTATTTGTTTCAATCATTGACCATTAAGGTCTGCAGTACATCCATGTGAAATACAAAGGAATTTGTATTATTTGAATGGCCAGATGATGAATATTGTATTTTTCATTACTACCCGTATATGCCACCATTTATACTAACAATAACTAGGGTGATTTGTGTAACTGTTAGACTTCAGTGGTTCCTATTCCTAGTGTTAGAATATTCCTAGTGGTAAGAATAGTGATAATTTGTGCTATTTATTATCTTTGTGAGTATTCTGTAACATTCAGAAGTTAAAATCAGGATAAAATGAGGCTGTTTTGGTGTCTGTGCTACACACAACATTATAGGTAGGACCTGTGCCAAAGTAACCATATCACATGCTGACACTGGCCTGATAAATCTACCTCATCCTATCAGCAGCACAATGTTGACTTTATGTCCATGCACCATTTTATTGTAGGTGAAGGTGGATGAAACTTGTAGAGATAGATGTGACTATAATTATATTTAGATGTGAGAGGTTTGCTATGTTTAAATGCACTAATGCAATACTAATCCAATAGCAAACATACTTTGCTTGAAATTGTTGATTATTGTTAAGGTGATAGTTATAATGTTTATCATTAACAACAAAAGATAATACCTTCCTTGTATGATTCTATGAAGCACTACTATAAAGGATGCAAAATGTTGTTTATTAAAATATTTATGAAGAGATAGAGAGAGAGAGAGAATTTGAAGATTTCTATAGTCAGTACATGTAAAAGAGAGAGAGAGAGAGAGAGAGAGAGAGAGAATTTGAAGATTTCTATTGGCAGTACATGTATAGACATATTTGTTTTCCAGGATGGTGTTAGAATCTGCCCTCGGCTGGTACCAGGGGCGAATAAGTCACTACGATAAACAGTCATGGGAAATAACCGTCGAGCAGAGAATTCTTCAGGGATTATCATATACTCCACGTAAAACAGCTAAACTCAAAACGGAATTGATTGATGTTGACTTAGTAAGAGGTATGTAATTTATTCTTGTGTATACATGTATATGTGAGTGTGCGGGCACACACACGCACATGCACACGCACACAAACACACTCCTGTCATACTTCTGTCTGTTATTATCTGAAATTGGTTAAGATCACCTTCCACATCTTCATATCTTAATCAATACAATTTCTCCAATACAGGATCAACATTTCCAAAGGCAAAACCACAGTCGGGAATATGGCTGGCGGGTTTGCATGGAATATCTCGCATAATACTTTTGCCGTTTTACGCATCATGGTGGATTCGAGAGACTTCATGCACAGGCTTCTTTGTGGTCTTGTCAGTGTACAGCTCAATACTCATGTCTGGAATCATCATGTTTTGCTGTAGGAATGATGAAGTGATTCTTAAGGTTAGTTTTATTAGTTATGTTCTCATGTTGTTGTTTTTTTGGGGGGAGGGATGGAGGTTGGTTATTTGATGTGCAAATAAGGAGTACTCTTTGAACTTTTTTGTGAAAAACAGTTTATCAACAGCACCTGAAAAATGAAGTTAGAGTGTTCTTAGGATACAGATATTTGGAACATGGCTGGGACACTGCTGAAACATACCAATTTTGATAAGTTTCAGCTTTGTGATAGTTTGTTGTCCTTTTAAAGTTGGGCTCAATGTGTCAAGTACACTAATGGTTAGAGGAAATGATTAGAGGAAAGAGGAAAAGTAAGAATTAGAGGAAAAGGGAGAAATAGAAACAGTAAAAGAGAGAAATAGAAACAGTAAAAGAGAGATATGAATATAACAAGTATAAAAGGGATCCAGAATTCAGAGTGAGGCTAATTGTATTTTTAAGTTAAATGAAAAAATGCTCATTATTCCTTGAAGATGGCAAAGTTCAGAGTTATGTGTGGACATAGGATATGGAAGTTTTTTTATTCTGTCTACTTTCATTCACAATTAATTCATCAAAGATTGCTTTCATATGGATAGTTGAAATATGGTTAGTTTTTTGGGGTAGGGGTAAATTTTGCTAAGTTTGATCCAGTCAAAATGCAAATCAGTTGCCATATTGTAGTCATTTCCATAAGATCTACCTTTTTTTTTTTCTTAATGATATCAGTTGGATACTATGTGAGATTACTTAATTTTAGGGATATTATTCAATTTGATATTTAGGATATGACAGTTATTGACAAGCAACTTTTTAAAGATAGTGTTGAAATATGGTTTGATTTGCAATGCTATTGAAGAAGATTTAATTTATCATTACCTTAATACATACATACCACATTATTAGTTACTTAACATTAAGTTTTCCCACAGGACATTCCAGCATCAGAAGTACTACTGCCGTGTGTAGTGATTTTGGTGTTAAGTGTGATTCATTCTCAAATTGTATGCACGCGCCATACAGGAATATCGTCCCCGAATCACAGCCGAGGACCGGTAGGCATAAGACATGGGAGAAGGATGAGGTCATTACGAAGAAGTGTCTCACTGAAGGGACGGGGTAAGTAGAAGCAGATGAATGAATGATGTCACAGGTGAAGAAATAGTAATGTATGTACTTTTATGAAATATATGAAAGAGGATTTTTAATGATGAAAATTAGTCTAGGTATAATGTTAGGAAGCTTAAGCATTATTTGATGACATGGGGGTTTGGCATAGATTATACGAGTATTATTTGTATTATTAGAATATATATTATAACCATTATATCTAAATTACATTCTGAAAAGGTATTTCAGAAGATATTAGCCCATTTGTCTTGGGTGTGTGTACTATCCATTGTAGTTTTTTGTGAATTTTGTTGCATGAATATGGCTCCACTTGTGCTGCGCTACCAAGGAGTCAATTAGTAGGCCCTAGTGACCGCATCTGATTTCCCCATTCCTTGAGGTTGTAGAAAAATGTTTTTTTATTCTCTAATACTAGTAATAGAGATACTATTATTATTATTGGGTTTATAATTATTATGATTTTATTAAAATACTAATAATGGTAATGACAATAACATAATGAAAAAGAAGCTTTTGAAAAATCAAAGAAAAAGGGGAAACAGGTGAGATAGTTAGGACTAATAATTGACGTCTAGGTGACTAAGCACTTGTAGAGTCATCTGATCTATTAATGAACTAGTATTACAGTGGGCATGGCATTAATTCTTGCTATCTTGGTCTGATTGGCTTAAGTTGTTGGTTCAGAAATTTTGTAGAAAACATTATTTTGTGCATTTTCAGATTTTACCTTTTTGCTTTCCAGGTAAATGTGCATGTAGCAGTGCTAGGCGTGATAATACAAGGTTATCTGTTAATCCACCTAAGAAACACAACAGGTCACCATTTAAAACATTCAGGTACCTCACATGTGATTAATTGATTTTGTCTCCAAGCATTTGTTTTTTTGTTTAGTAACACAGACAAATTAAATGCACACACACACACACACACACACACACACACACACACACACACACACACACACACACACACACACCACAACACACACACACACACACACACACCACACACACACACACACACACACACACACACACACACACACACACACACACACACAACACACACACACACATACACAAACACACACAAACACACACAAACACACACAAACACACACACACACACACACACACACACACACACACACACACACACACACACACACACACACACACACACACACACACACACACACACACACACACACACACACACACACACACACACACACCATCAAGTTATATATACTCAGGATCACAAATTGGTGTAATTAGCTCTGAATTCAGTAACAAAAGATGTAGTATAATGCCTAATTATTTAAGAAATTGCTGGTTATTATATTGATGAAATTTTCCTTTCCTTAAATCAGATCTCATTCAGAGGAACCAAAGCATGAAGAGGTATATCCGTTACGTCCACGTTCAGCCTCTGAAAACAATGTTGCCCCCTGTGTGGACTCTAAAGGCAAACCGAGCATTATAATTTTTTCGTCTGGCTCCTCTCAGAACATCAAGGCAGATGAACAGTCCAGTTCTTCTGCCACTACCTCTTCCAGTGATAGGAGTCCAGTGGCAGGTATTGTGGAAGGCAAGGGGGAGATATTCATTGACCAGCTGAAAAAAAAGAGACTACAGGAATTTTGTCCAGATGACAACGGTATTGATGATGCGAACACTCCCCTGGACGGAAGTGATGGGAGACAATGTAGGGATAAGGAGATACTAGTTGATGGCTGTAGGACTGAGAGTTGCTTGTTGAAAAGCAAGTGTGAGGGAAAAAATAGCCTGCTGCAAACCCCTGGTACTGAGGACATTGCACCAAGTATACACCTTAAGCTTCCCAGTGAGAGACCAGATGTTGATGGGGGTAGTGACGGAGGAGAGGAAAGTGGCATGGGGGATTTTGAAGGCCCAACCACCGATACTGACAGCTGGAACATGAAGAAGACTGCAAGGCGTTCTTGGTGCTCTTGTTCTTGTGGGAAGGTGAGAAATAACACCCAGTTGTTTGTAAAGATTAGGAATACTTTTTACTTGCATCATGGTTTGGAATATTAACCCTTTTGTTGTGCAATACCTCATATTATCCAACTATCCCTCCTTTTTTCTATTACTTTGCAATGCTTCATATGAACTGGCTTCTTTGCAGAATCATTTGAATAATCAGCCACTGTGTATTACCTGTATACTTGCGTTAACAGCATAGAGGTGCTTGGAAGGCCTTGAACAATGTAAGAGATTGTGGTCTGTGCCGCTTGTGGTTGAGGGCTTGTGTGCATTAGTGACCGGATGTAATAGTATGAAAAGTGGATGTTTAGAGGTGTTATATATTCAGTGAGAAAGGAATGTGTAGGGATGTGTGTACAGTGGGAAATAGATATTTAGAGACATACATTGTACAATAATACATTAGCTTAAAAAGTAATTAGATACAGGACACAAGGGAATAGGGAATATTTACTTGAACACTACCATGATTTTTTTTCTTTCTTTAATATTTATTTATTTATTTGTTTATTTTGCATACAGTACGTTTTAAGATAAAAATAAAAGAAAATTGGACATTATTCCCAAGCCTTAGGCAGGGATAGTCAGCAATGAGGTATAGCACAGGAAAGGATTAGATTTATTATTAAAAAGTAGTATACATCCAGCACATTTGATTTACAGATTAAATTACCTTATTTACCTCTTAGGAAAAGAAGGTTTACTTCTATTCCTGATGGTTATAACAAGCATTAATAATTTTTCTTAAAAACCTAGAGATGTTTTTTTATTGTCTTGAAATACTGTTGTCAAAATTTTAAGATATGTAATTACCTTAACATATTTGTAAAGTAAAAAAAAATCATAAAAAGATGTTAATTAGATAGTCTTTTGGCATGATTTTTTTTTTATCTCTTGACTTAACTTATTAGACTATAAATTCTCTATTTTATAATAAGACAAAGAAGACATGAAAAGCAAGTAAAAGCTTAAGAGTATGGGTATTGCATTTATCTAGCATGCACAAAGCTTGCATTTTATCTTCATAACACCTTAAGAAATATGCACCTCTTTATTGTCAGAGTTACGTCTAATGTTTATCAGCACTAAAGCACTTTATCTGATGAGGGTGAGTTATGGTCACTCACATAGGCCCTATGTTGAAAACGGTGTTGACCTTTGAGAATGTAAATGTGGTTCCCTTTTATTTTTTTTCTTCATATTTTTAAAAATATATATTTTTAAAAATATAGACACTAATCATGGTTTTGGTTACTCATTTCAAGTTCAGTTGCCTCAAGAAGTGTCTAAGCCCACTGCGTTACTTTCTGTCAAGTACCATAGAAGGGTAAATCCTCATATGGGCATTGTAAAAACAGATACAATAGATATGTGTGTATGCTAGACATCACAATGGCTTGAAATGTTACATAATTTGAGTAGTGATCAAACCATCATCAGAATGTAGAATGTTAAAGAACTTTTTGAGGCAATTGTACAATACCTCCATATCCAGACAGTAAGTCAATGCCTCTTGTAATCTGTGCCGTATGTAGACCCTATACCTATACCAACAGCCATCTGATACCAGTGCTAGCCACCCCAGCCGCCGTTCCCCTCACAAGCTCCTACCAGTGGCTGTTGAGAGAAGCTCTTGCAACTCCTCTTGTGAAAGCGATGCGGAACAAAGCCCATCCCCACAGTATACGAAGGCTAAGGTAACCCACTAATGCTTCTGCTTACTTAAGCCTTGGAATGCTAGTCTGATATGATAATGTGATAAAAAAAATGATCATGGTTCAGGCAACATATTGGCATGTACAGGCAGTGTCTTGCATAATTACTAAGTGTTTATATATAAGTATTTTTTTTTTTTTTTTTTATATTTTTTTTGTATATTTATATATTTTTCAACATAGGCATGTAATCAGTTTTTTGATAAACAGATTCCATAAGGATTGTAAGTTTATAAGATCTATTACTAGAGTATAGAAAAGCCAAACATATTAAGTTAATGTATTGTGGCATTGCAAAAGGCAATATCAACAGCTTTCAAGTAAAGATTCCTTAATTTTTCGTTGTTAGTAAATCACTCTAAGGTGTAAAGGTTTTGTTCATATAGCCTTGTGTTATAATCAGCTACAGAAAGTTGTTTAATAACAAGAACAGTGAACAGCTATATGAATTTTGATATAGCTTTTTGTTTTATATATGTTACAGGGTTTTCAGTAGTGCATTTATGTTTTCAGATAATATACAGGCAATTAACTTCTTTTCAGTTCATTTTGTTTTTGAATGAGCTTTACCTATTGTTTTTAGATAGAAATAATGAGAAAAGTTTTTAATTTTTATATCTTAAGTAAGAACATGAGTGAGAGAGGTTTTAAACTGAAAATTGCAAGATCAGAATGAGACTAATGCTGAATTAGATGTTTTGTTTTAACTGATGTAAAGATAAACCGTGAATATTATTTGGTACATTTGAATTAAACAAAATTGTAGATATTTACTTCATACAGTAAGGTTCTGTGGAATGAACTAAAAGAAATGAAACAATTTACCTTGTAGATTTATATTCTGCACTGTTGGGCTCTTTTCTCCAACCTGCTGCAATATCTCGGAAGGAATTTAAATACACATCTTGCATGGCTTTTTTCAATTAAATTCTGTAAACTGATAAAGTAGACTACTCTCAGTGTATGGATTAATAGGTTTAAACAGATCATAAAGACAATTGTGTGTTGAAACAGTAATATTTACTTGGTCACTCAGTTACTTTGAATCTTTACGAACTGTAATGTAATAAAAGTTTGATATGCCCTAAGATGTTGAATACCAAATGAAAACAGATGATATTAGACATATTACAAATAAGTTAAATTTTACAATTTTTTCCCATTACTGTATATCCAAAGAAGGCCCATGAATAACAAGGATCATTACTTTATGTTGATATTGTATGTGCTGAATATAGAGGCCAGTGTATAACCACCCAATTTTTTGGGGGAAAAGTAAGAGCAAGATGGTAGCATTGGAAAAACTTGAGAAGAATTTACCTTGGGAAAAAAAGTTTTTTATTATGAAAAAAAGAATGTGAAATATGAATCATGATTAACAGAAATCTGATATAAACTATCATTTGTCACTCAAATATTCATACATACAGCACCTGCTCTTATCAAAACATCTGAATAAGTTTCCCCCGCAGCATAGTGAGTACGAATGGATGGGCATAACAACAAACAGTGACGATTTGAGCTACAGCAGTGAGAGTGATGGTGGTTGGGATGACAATGAAGAGTCGGATCAGACTTTCTTGAGGTCGGAGGCATTGGACTGGAACATTCAGGGTTCACCAGCGGCGATCATAACTTCTGCGCCTAATGTATCTGACAAAGGTACTGGAACATTTTGATTAGTTAATTATTGGAGGTAGATATTTTTCTTTTTCTTATTCATTTTACTCTTCTTTTCAATTGGATATGGTGGTGTATGATATGATTATTGGGTTAGGAGTAATGATATATGTATATATTTTGCAAAATTTAGTTTTTAATTTTTTTTCAGATTCCAATTTTATTCTATCAGATTCCAAAAGTATCTGCAGACTGAAATGAATTTGAATATGATTTATCCAGTTATAGTGAGGTGAAGTATTTCATCAACAATAATCTTGATATTTATTATATACAGAGGTCACTTTTCTCCAGATTGGATTCTAAAAAGACTAATGTGATTATTTTCAGCCTCTCATGGATTTAATTTTATGGATTGAGATTGGTGTATTGAGTGCAATGTTTTTTTGTCAGGTTTTATTAACCTGATTCATGCTATGGAAAATCCAAATCCAGAATAAAGGTTTTGTTTTTTTGTATTACTTCAGTGTTTGGTCAAACTGGTACTATATGTAATAATCGGGATCTTTGTGTTTTTACCTCCAAACAGTCAGCTGCAAAATATGGGAAGAAGCTGAGGTGAAGAAAGTTGACCTCTCTGTCTTAGACATTTCTTCAGCAGTTATATCAAAAGTGGATAGTTTGCATCACACGACTCATTATCTTCAGTTTGGTAAGTGTTTTTATTTTTCATATTTATTATTGTATTGTTATTATTGTATTGTTATTATCTTAGGGGGGAGGTCTATTCTCTCTAGATAGTATTGGGCCTTTCCATGCTGATGTAATTTGCAAGATACAAGAAAAAAGGTGTTAAGATTTTAATTGTTGCTGAGTATGAGAACAAAGGCTTGGTATTATATCACATTACTCATGAAAATGATTAACTTATGTTTTATTTGCTAGGATTTCTATACTTTTAGTCTTCATTCAAAATTTATGAATTAGACTATTGGAGCATGTTGAAATTTCATTAAGATTATTTCCCAATGAGTAAATAGGATTTAAATGTAAGTTTGAGACAATGACTGGGGCATTGTCTACCTATAGCCCGCTAGGTTGTTTCTAGGTCATACATATTCAGAAGGGAATTAAATTAATACCAGGCCCTTCTATCTGTAATATCTCAGATAGATACTAAGATTTAAGCACTGTTTTGCTAGTGTCCAGATAGTACTAGTAGTCTTGGAGTTATTTCTAATAGAGGCAGCTGGTTGCTTTGCATTTATGGTTGCAGAAAATAATTAAGGAGTACACACATTGTTGTTATGAGTACATCAGTAAGCTGAGAGGTCTTATTACTCTCAGTGCTCTGTTTTTTAGTGCCCTAAAAAGTATTTTTTAATCTGTGAGTTAACAAATTAACTTGTGAAATCTAGAGATATCATTCATCAATTTAATTTTGGGGAATTTGCTCTTTTTTCAGGACTAACCATTGCCATAGTGATAGCTTTGGTACCAAGCATATACAGAGTTGATTATTCTGCTCTTGGAAATTTCTTGGACACTGTGGTTACATCTGACTCTCAAGATTGGATCCCAGCATTTAAGGAATTGTTAGAGAAGGTATTCACAGGACTGCTTGGTGGGAATATGTGGTAAGGGAGAAGCTGCAATGTATTTTAGTGTAGCAGTATTTTGTATTGTGTTATTTCTATAACCCTCATAAGATGCACTGTCTTTTGATCTGATGTGGCATATCAATGCACTAATCAACTGCTTCTGTCTACTGTAATTTAGCTTACAGAAAATGTTTGTTATATTTTTGTAATCTACAGATCTAAATGTATGTTATGAGACATGAATATCATGTACATTTTCCTTCATCTTTTTGGAAGAGGTACCCTTCCTCCAATAAAAGGACTTGGGGTTATCCCTACTTGTTATACTTTGTCGTTATGTAAAGCTGTTTTGATGTACTCTATTAGAAGTACTAGTTTCACATTAATCTCACTTGAATAAACCTACTGATGTATGTCATGAGTAAATGATAACCCCTTTTGAACAGTCCATAATTATGGATGTCTAAAATTAAAATATATATGTTTCAGGTCTTCGATTGTAATTCTGTTGAGTGCTATTAATAGACTTTGCCTGGCTGGAGGATTTTTTTTCCTACTGTCTGTAGCGGAGAGAACTTTCAAGCAGCGGTTTCTGTATGCCAAACACTTCTGCTATCTTACATCCGCCCGCCGAGCTAGGTAAGCATACTTCTGTGGTAGAAACTGTGTATGTTTTATGATAGAGTGCAAAATTGTTAACAGACTTAAGAATTTGTGTATGTGTGTGTGTGTGTGTGTGTGTGTGTGTGTGTGTGCGTGCGTGTGTGCGTGCGTGCGTGCGTGCGTGCGTGCGTGCGTGCGTGCGTGCGTGCGTGCGTGCGTGCGTGCGTGCGTGCGTGCGTGCGTGTGTGTGTGTGTGTGTGTGTGTGTGTTGTGTGTGTGTGTGTGTGTTGTGTGTGTGTTGTGTGTGTGTGTGTGTGTGTGTGTGTGTGTGTATATGTAATTCAGAGCTAATTACACCAATTTGTGATCCTGAGTATATGTAACTTGGTGTGTGTGTGTGTGAGTGTGTATCTATTTGTATGTATGAATATGAATATGTGTGCATATACTTTTTTTTTTTTATTCTATATGATGTTAATGATGTTTTTAAAAATAAGAAATGATAACATTTTCAAAATAATTTCATTATTTAATAATTATTTCAGAAAATATGATCTACCTCACTTCAGACTCAACAAAGTTCACAATATTAAAACATGGCTTTCTGTACGCTCATGCTTGAAGGTGAGATTTAACTTTGAAATTAACATCGTTCTGTGCTATATCCCTTTTTTATTGGAAGTATTTTAATAATCTCTTATATGCAGAGAGAGAATTTTTATTGAAAGAAATGTGTAGAATGTACTCTGTAGATTAAGAATCTAAAGAATGGAGAGTGTGAATGTAGGAATAAATGATTTTCAAATTGTTTAACTTCTGCTTTGAGATAAAAAGCAGCATCCATTAAAATTGTATTTTTAACCATCATTTCCACTGCTGGAGTACTTTTACAAATATTTATCTGTGTGTATCAGTTATTGCTTACTCATGAAGGATTTTTGTAAAGAATCTGGTTGAAAATAAATTGCTAGAACCTGCAATGTTGCATGAAATGATGTGTAATTCCCCCATTTTTATAGAAGCAATAGTAAGAAGTTATCATATATATACATATATATATATATATATATATATATATATATATATATATATATACTTTTTTTTCTCCTTTTAATTATTATTTTGATGATGATGATGATAATGATGTGAGTGTGAAGTATGGTTACTCAACTTATGATGTACCAATAACTTATAACCAGTATGTGACATGCAATAGATTTTCGTAACCTTGATTATTTTTTCATGATCCTTTTATTTTCCTTTCATTTTACTGCAACAGAAACGAGGCCCCCAGCGATCGGTGGATGTAATCGTTTCTGCCACGTTCTTCATCACTTTGCTACTTGTGTCATATCTCTGCTTTGAACTGCTAAAGGAAGATGATAAGTCACAACACACACTGTACAATTGTGAGCTTTTTTTCTGGTATGTACTGTGATTCCTTTGCTCTTGAAATCACTTTCTCTTCAGCAGAGGGAGGTTGGGGCAGTTTTAAGAACATCGTAGCAAAAATAGATTATTGCATGGAAGTGATAGAGTCAATTATTAATACTTTTGTATTCTCTGATGCAGCATATCAGATAAGGAAATTAATTATGCCTGCAGTCTTTAACATGTATGTTATTACAAGATTCAATTTTATTGCACTTCTCTTGTTTTGACTGTAATATTCCTTGACTTGTAAAAGTTTTTGGATGTTTTACACGCACTTTTACATTCAGTGACATGGTTGGGAGAATGCAGGGTGAAATAGGGTGGCTTTGTGCATGTAAGTTATAGAATATATATCTTTAGAGCCTAAAGCAAAAGTATTAACCAAAGATATGCTGTCCATAGATTAGCATAGTACACTGTATTACATATTTAAATAGTATTTACAAAGCATCTTTTTAAAACTTATTGAGACTAATACTCTATGTTAATTTACCAAGTGCATTAAATGTTTCAGGTGTTTTGCAATTGGCATCTACCTAATCCGCTTCATGACGTTGGGAGCAATGATCAACAAGAAGTACTCTAGCTTATCAGTACTCATAACTGAGCAGATCAATATGTATTTACACATGGAGCAAAAACCCCAGAAAAAAGATGAACTCATGTTAGCAAACAATGTTCTAAAATTGGTCTCTGTCCTGCTGAAGGTAAGTCAGGCTTTGATAATAATAATAATGATTTAAAGAAGGGTAATTTTGTATAGTTTAATTAAATAATCTGGAGGTTTTATGGAAACGTTAACAAAGATATATTTTGCTGTTTATAACAGTAAAATTATGGATGAATATTTAGATACTGATTTTGTATTCCTTATTCTTTTTATGATTTACAAAATTATATTAAAATTGAGAACAATTTAGGGTGATGTCATGGGTGTTGGCTCTGCTGGAAAAGTTCGTGTGGAAATGATGCAGTGAAGAAACTCTGAAGTGCTGGTACTAAATCATTATTGTATACATTTTAGCATTTGAGTTTTGAACTGCCAGAGACAGGGAATAGTCATTAAAAGATTGAAAAAAAGGAAAAAAATATTTTGTAATATATATTCAATTTGGGTATTTAAATTGCTAGAATATGAAAATTCATTACAGAGAGTTATTTTGAGTATGTTGTTCTATTTACAACATACTCAACTTCACTATTTAATTTTTTAAGAGCTAATAAATAATTATGATTTTGAATACTTAATCATTGTAATTTGTCTTTTGATATATTATTCAAACTTACAAATAGTCTGTGTTTCAAATATAGTCCCATTACATTTTTGTCTTTCAGTATTTGAACTCATAATCCATTTATTTTTTTCTTCATTATTTCCAGGAACTAGAGAGTCCATTTAAAATTTCTGGGCTCTCGGCAAATCCCCTGCTGTACAACATAACCCGCTTGGTTGTCCTCTCAGCTTGCTCTGGCGTTCTCTCAGACCTTTTAGGTTTCAAACTCAAACTTCACAAAATTAAGTTTAAGGAGTGAACCTATGCTTTCTGATGAGAAGAAAAATAAATAGAGATGAGAATCATATAACCGATAGATGTAATTGATATAAATTACAGTACTTATATGTAAATCTGAATAATGGTATATTGCTTTAATCTGTTAAGTAGCTTTGAAAGTATGCAGATGACATATCCAGTGTGCTGCCTTTTATAGTGACAGCAATTTTTAAGGTCTCATTTAGATTTTAGAGGAAGTATGACCAATTCACCCAATATAATATTTTTAAAATTGACAAATTGAAAATGCTGTTCATTTTTAAATTTTTTTATGTGTAAATGTGATATTGTTAGAAGCTAGTGTAAGTATTCCATGACAATAAGATTTTAAAAGAGAGAGAGAGAAGGAGAAGAAAGGAGAGGAAACAATTCAATGTGATAATAAAAGGGTGTGATGGATATCTTATAAGTTTTAGAAGAGAGTGAGAATACGAGAGTATTTTGAATTTATGTAAAGTTCAAAAATTAAAAACATTTTAAGGCAAAGGTCTCTCTTTTATATTCCTGATAATTTTGGTGTTGCAATAAACTCATATGTGCCTCTATGATGAAGTCAGTAAGTAACCACAAGTATATGCACACACACACACACACACGCACCGCACACGCACACACACACACGGATGCACACATACTTTTTTATTTTCTTTCAATACTTAATGTAAATATCTCCAAAAAGCACAACTAGAAAGCTTCCCAAAGTACAGGCAGTGTCAATTATGTTACTGACTTTAAAAATGTATTTTATGTTAGCTGTACTAACCCAGAACTGGAAGTAGTCCAATACAGATTTTTATCAGATACTTCCACACACACATACACAATAGAATGTGCATGTGTGTGTCCCTACAAATACACTACACCAAGGATTCTGGCTAGACAGTGAAAGATTCTCTTAACTTACTGATATCCACAGAATGTTCTATATAAACCTTGGACATATTTAACTCCAGTCATCTTAGTAGTCACAAGGTTGACTGTAATTTTAAATCTTCCTGTCAATGGTGTTACGAAGTTGTAAAAGGAGAGGTGGGTACATGCATTTGTTTTTGGCAATGTACCAGTACTATATCCCCCCCTATCTCTTGCTCATTGTTGTCATGGGGGAAAATTGAGGATGCAGACTGAGGTCCAACATACAGGATCACCCCTACCTTGGACCTCAGCTCTCACCTCAACTATTTTGCATGGTCTTTTCTTCTACCTCTCTCCTTTTCCTTCTCTTCATCCCCTGCTGTCGACTTTCTAAGGTGTGACAGCAGTGCTGAAAGGACTGAAAGGCTGGCTTTGGGTCAGTCCTGAATGGCCTCAAGGAGCCATAGTATTCCCTTGATTAATCGTCTACTCCTTACCTCTTATGGGGACCCTATGGGTTATACCATTTCTTTTCCCCATTTATTTCAGGCTTACCATGGCCAGTAATGAAGGTTTTTTACCCTTATTAGGGGCATTAAGACACTCCTTCATCAACTTGCCTATCTAAGTATGATCTCAATGGGTTCGCGACCCCTGCCTTTCCTTTGACCACGACTCCGACCACTGATACTAACACTTTCTTCTTGATGTTTACTAACTCTGTCTATTCCAAACTATCCACCCAGGTCATTACTAAACCTTCAGAATGCATCCCTTCCTCTCTCCGAACATTATCCACTCCATCTACAATCTTCTTCATTGTCTACATCCTCCCCCTTCATTACTACTCATCATCCTTCTTGTCCTCCTCCCCACAGTACTACTTCACTCCACACCACAGCATCTTCCGCCCGCCCTCGTCCTTCTACTGCTTCCACGTCAGCAAACCTTTTGAGTACTCTTTTTGGCCCAAGTGGGATCGATTCTCAGTGATCCTCCCTTATTACGTGTACTGGAACTGTCTCCATCTCCCTGACTGATTGTCCTGTTTATGACAAGGACTGGACAAACTGTGAAAATTATCTACTTGCCTGCCTTGTTAACTATGGTGCAGTGGCAGTACAGTGCTACACCATTCCTCCCAGAAGCCAGCATCAATACTACACCAATATTGCTAAAATTAGTTTTAGTAGACATGATCTCAATGAAGTGGATTGCCATCTCTACAGTCTCAGAACTATTGTTGCTTTGGACACTCAGCGAAACACTGTCGCTACACAGCTTGCTGTCCTCTATATGCCCAACCTAGTCATGACCGTTCAAACTGCTTTGCACAATCATGTACATGTGCCAGTTGTGGTGGCTCCCATAATATATTTTATAAGAGCTTGCCCTGCCTACAAGCTCCAATGTGAGGTAGCAGTTCTCATATTTAAACTAGGCTTCACTGTATGTGAAGCAGAGCCAAGAGGTTTTTCTCTTTCTACTCCCGCCCAATCCCTTGCCCGTTGTTGTCGTGGGGGGGCTTAGAAGACGGAGACTGAGACCCAATGCAGGGATCTCCCCTGCCTAGGGCCTCAGCCCTCGACTCAACTAATTTTGCATGGTCTTTTCCCCCTCCAACTTTCTGTTTCCATCCCTTCTCCAAACCCTTCTACTATCTACTTCATAAGTTTTGAGAGCCGTGCTGAGAGGATGAAAGGCTGACCTTGTGCCAGTCCTGAACGGCTTGCGGGAACTATGGGCACGGTACTCCCGACTTATCTAGCCCTTACCTTTCACTAGCGATGGAGGTGGACCAGTTGATGCCTTTTATATAATCCAGGTTCCCCATGACCAATAATGAAAATGTAATCCCTTTATTAGAGGTAATGAGGCTAGCCCCTTTATCAAATAGCCCCAACCCAGGCTCTCCTTTGACCACGGCTCCGAACACTGAAACTACTACCCACTCTTCAATGCCTACTAGTGCATTACCCACCCAAGTAGAGAATCAATCTCAAGAAGACATTCCTACCCACCCAAATTCCTCAAATTCATCAACTCTACACCCGCAACTTTCATCAAGCAACCAATCCTCCCTTATTACTGCCTCACAGCCTTTTCTCCATCATTCCGTAATACTCCCTCTTCCACACGTCCCCGACCATCCACCACCACCAACCCTACAGATATCTTAAATACTCTGTTTAGCCCAGCTAAATGGGACCGAATTTTCGTGATCCTTCTACAGCTCCTTACTCAGGCAACACTCTTCTCTTTCAACAATGCCACCAAAAACAAGTAGGTAGAGTCCCTTTCTATACCAGACGCGATTGCACCCGTCTTGTAACAGTCAGATCAGAAACTGAATTTAACTGATCATTCTGGCAACCCCATTCCTGCAGAACCTCATCCAACCCTTAATACCTGTACCGGAACTGTCTCTCTCTCCCCAGCAAACTGCCCAGTCGATACCAAAGATTGGTCAGACTGTGGAGAAGACTTATTAGGATGCCTCAAAGACCAAGGTGTGAAATCAGTACATTGCTACACCATTCCTCCTACAGGTCAACGAAAGAATCCGACCAACATTGTTAAAATTACCTTCCGTACACATGGCCTTCCCTTACGAATCTACATCGGTGTACAATCCCTCCCTGTTCGACCATACCAACCCCCTCCCCGTCAATGTCAAAACTGTTGGCGCTTTGGACATCCTGCCAAACATTGCCGTTCCACAGACCGATGCCCCATATGTGCCCAACCTGGTCATAATCGATCAAACTGCTCAGCACAAACACGAACATGTGCTAACTGCGGCGGCCCCCATAATGTATTTTATAGAGGCTGTCCCACTTATAAGTTTGAATCTGAGGTAGCAACTCTCAGATACAAAAATGGTCTCACTTTACGTGAAGCCAGACAAGAAGCACGTCGACAAGGTTTCTCTCATACTCCATAATCTAGTAACTGTTCGCTCAGCCCCTCCTCCTCCACCCCAAGAAGTCCCAATTTCCACTTCTCCATTCTACCTCCCTCAGACCAATTCCTTTGCCACTCTAAACCCAGACACCCTAATCTCAACCACAGCTCCAATCTCAACTACAGCCCCAATCACTACTACATTCTACCCCCCCCCCTCAGACTAAATCTTTTACCACTCCAAACCCAGACACCCCAATCTTAACCACAGCTCCTATCTCAACTACAGCCCCAACACCACCCCCTCTCCCTCCCCACACTACCCGCAGTAGACAGACTAAACGTTCTAACCCTTCTTCCCCTACAGCACAATCACCTCCACCTACCTTCACCTTTATTCCTGAGACACCAGTCTCCTCTTCCACCCTCATAAGAAAACCTTTATCCCACAAAACTCCCCAACCAACTCCACTGCAGAAACAATTAACTTCTCACCAAACTCTCCAACCAATTCCACTGCAGAAACATTAAATAACATCCAAAGTTATATGCTTAAGACAGAAGATCCCATAACTCATGCTCCTTCCACACTTGAAGTGGTTGCCGATATTCATACCCCTCCTACTAATATTCCCCCTACACCCCTTCCTCCTACTCCCTCTCAACACAACTTAACCCCCTCAATCCCGTCCATCACTGATATCCATACTCCAAACACCCATCCTCCTGATATCCATCCCCCTCGTACACCCCTTCCTCCTACTCCCTCTCAACACAACCTAACCCCCTCAATTCCGTTCACCAGCGATATCTATTCTCCCAATACCCATCCTCCTGATATCCATCCCCCTCTTACACAGCCCCTACACCCCTTCCTCCTAATTCCTCCCAAGACAACACATCCCCTTCAACTCAAACTATCCATCCTTCCGATATCCATCCTCTTAACACTAATACTCCCCCCACATCTACTCCATCCCAACACAACCCACCCCCTTCAACCCCAACTATAGGCACATTCTCCCTCCCTCCATCCCCTCTATCCTTTGCACTCCCTCCCGGATACACACGAGAATCGCTCATGTCACAACAATGCCCTAGCTCCTTCCCCTTCAAATTCCCCAACACGTACTTGCGTTATCATTCGTAAATCAACTAAGAAATAGCTCTCCTACATTGGAATATTCGCGGTTTCCGCTCTCATAGACCAGACCTACGTCATATCCTTGCTTCTTATAATCCATCTATTATCTGCCTCTGTGAGACTTTCCTCACACACCCTCCTATTCCAATTCCCAATTACCATTTTATCTCTTTCCCACACTCCCTTTATGTCTCATCTATACTTATCCATCATAAAACACCTTATGTCATACCTCCCATACAAACTTCTGTCCTGTGCACAGCTATTCGCATCTTTCTTCGCCGCTGGATCACAGTGATTTCAGTCTACTTCTCCCCATCCCATCCCATTGACTTTACTGCCTTTGAAACTCTAATTTCCCAACTCCAACCACCTTTCCTCCTAGTTGTAGATTTCAACTGCCGCCAACTCTACCACCAACTCCCGAGGCCGATCTCTAGAACGCTTCCTCTCCACAAATACCCTAATTATTCTTAATTCAGATCGCCCCACACTTTGGCATGCGCACACAATCCTTTTCATGCCTTGACCTCTCTCTATGCTCTCCTACTTGACATTTAGATTTCCATTGGTCAATTCTAGA